TTAGAAATATATATATATCTTTTTTAGAATCTATATATATATATATATTATATATATATTTTATGAACATATTATAAAGCTTATAAACAAACCTTCCATTCCACTAACTCTTATAATTTGCTGAGCAACAGTTCTTACAAATCTTGTACGATGATCCCAGCTTGGCAAAATATTATGTCGATACCGCCTCATTATTTCCGAGTATGCTTGTTGTGCTAATTTTGCTTCTTGCTTAGGGGTTACATCCATAAATCGTCGCCGATTACTTATTGGCACGACTTCTAAATGGTTTACATAATATACTGTAAAAAGAATTCCTATTCCACCAGAATATATCCAAAATTTTTTTTTTTTGTAAAAAGGTGGGACTCTTTTAACTCGTCTATATTGCGGATATGGTAGGAGCTTAGGTGGACGCGAGGATATTTGTGAGTGATCATTGAATAAAGTTCGAATTCTTGATTTATAATTGTTGTGTGAAACCTTTTCTACGTAATGACGAAAGTTGAAACCTAAAAGTGGCGAAAGACGAAAAACAAATCCCTGACGAAACCCCAAATCCCTCTGATTAAAAACGAATCTTAAAATCGGAAATGATGAAGGGCGAAACCTGGTGAAACCTTCATAAAAGTTAAGAGATTTTTAAGATCAAAAAAAAAAATAAAAAATTAACGTTAAACATTTAACGAAATAATTAACTAAACTTTAAATGATTTAAATGATTGTTGGAAATGAATTACTTCAACGAGAATTCCTTTATGCCTGACATCAATAGTTCGAACCATAAAGTCACCAATGTTGTAAGAAAATCCCTTTTGAAATGAATGCAAAAAATTCATGAATTGGAAAACTTAAAGAAAGATATAAAAAAAGATTTAAAGGAAAATATAAAGAAAACTTAAAGGAAAATATAAAGACTTGAAGAAAGATTTAAAGAAAATTTAAAGGAAAATTTAAGAGAAGATTACACGAAACAAACCTCAAATTTTACATCCTTTTTAATAACCCATAAATTTTTCAATTTTGATAAAATAGTTTCTAACTCATGTTCAGCTTCGATCATTACATCATCGGCAAGGCAATAAACTTTACCATTATCGTGACTAAATACTAAAGAATGAATAAGTTTTGGTGTTCCAGCAGCCGCAGTTTTATTATCACGAAATAATTTTGTTGCAATATGCCAAGGTTTAGATTGACGATTGGAAAATTGGCTAGTTATTCGTTCATGAAAAGTCAAAGAGTAATGAGCAATATTAATATCTTTAAGACCTTTAAGGAGTAAAACACTAATTAGAGGATCAAAAAGTAGCAAAAAGTAGTTAGAAAAATAAACACCAGTGTGAGTATGCAATTTTTTTTTTGACAACGAATCGTATAC